ATCAAATAAAATTTATGAAAACCTTTAAAATATTCAAAAAATAAATACTAACCTTATCGACCTCCCACCACGCAGGATAAAGTTTAGCTTTTCCATTACCCAACGTATATGAAGCATCTCTCGGATCCTTCAAGTGAGCTACGTGAAAAGACGTCGGCATAATAGTCCATCGAGTATTTCTTATTTTCCTCAATTTCCTTATTATTAGAAGACGTGACACCCATGCATCAATATGTTGTTGTATAAAAAATACATATATTAGTGAATTTATTAATAATTAAAAAAAATTAATCAAAATGCAATATAAGAAGAATATAAGACTTACCACCCCTTCGAGATAGCCATTATCTTCAACCCCTAATAAAATACCCCACCAAGACCGATCAAGAAACAAATGCATAACATCGTCGAGTTTGCATAGGTCAGAATAACACCCCTTGCTCCACTCATGTAGATAAAAATCAACTACGGTCTTAGCCCAAAGGGTATTATCATAATTGTGTCCGGTAGTGTTTCTCTCTCCTGCTGAGGAATGGTACTGGCCAATAACACATACGAAAGCCAACTCGCATCCATCATATCGGGCACGGGAGGAGGTTTATCAATATGTTGACATATGATGCCATGTGAATCGGGCTCTTGAATGGTGGACGAGACCTCTTGAATGATGACAGGGGCCTCTTGAACGGTGGGTGGAGCCCCTTCAATGATGAGAGGGGTCTCTTGAACGATAGGAGGCGCCTTTTGAACGATAGGAGGCACCTTTTGAACGATGATAGGTGCATCAGGCTTATTCTTATAGAGTCTTGGCACTAGTGGGGTGAACGGAGACGTAATGGCACGTGCACGACGTCTGATGCGTGAACCCCGTCGTGCAAGAAAAACCTGACGTAAAGCATCTACCTTATCGGGCCACTGAAAATAAATTAATACATAAATCAGTAAATAAATAAATAAATAATGCATAAAAAAGGTTATATGCATTTTTAGTATAGTATTAAACAAATTTACCTCATTGCGTAGAGTATAAACCTCATTCTGCAACGATAAAACAATCTCGCGTAGAGTAGTAACCTCATCACGTAAAGTAGATACCTCACCACTTAGCGCATCATTGTCATTGCATAAAAAATCCACCTCCCCACGTAAAGACCGAACCTCATCATGCCATGCACCATTGTCTTCGCGTAAAGTACCGACCTCATCACGTAACTCCCCTAACTCATCCCGTGGAGGTGGAGAACAAGGAGATAAATGTCGTGGCCTCTTTTCCGGTCGCCTATCATGAGGTGATGGTGGAGAAGAGGCTCGATGATGTGATGGAATAGGTGATGGTGGAGGTGGAGAAGAGGCTTGATCAGGTGATGGCTCTGTGTGTCGAGCTGTAGAATCGACCCGATCAGGTGATGACTCTCGAACTGGGGGGTGCTCATCACCCGTCCCATCAAAAAACTGCTTACTAGCTTGCCACCAATCAGTGGCAAGCTCAGCCTTTGTGGGTGTCAGCCTCTGTAATGGATAGTTGGCCTCCTAACAATATAAAAGCTCAAACAAAGTTAAACGTGTACTAGTAATAACTTGTTTATATATGGTATTATTTGTGTGTTAACTTACATCATTCATCGTCGTATATGGGAGTAACTCTTCCCAATCCAACATGCGGATCCTCTTCCAGGTAATAGCCCAAGGAATATCATTTGATTTTTTTATCGCATATGTCTGCATGCTGGGGAAAGCCTCAAATATCAAAATCTAAAAACAATAATATAATACACAAACATTAGTAATTGTTAAATAATTAATTATAATTTTGAAAACATTATATAGAAATTCTTACCTTAAAGGCCCAAGTAAAGTCTGTCAAAGTGTATTTAGAACCATCGCCCCGCAAACTTTTTCGGTTCTCAAAGGCAGACGACAACTTCTTCTAGGTAGCTTTCCATAGATATAAACCCCACGGAAACAGGTTCCATGCATTTAGGTCCTCTACCAATAATATTAGGTCCTCAGAGATAGGTTGTTTGCCCTCTTTGCCTAAAAATCCGGCATGCAAAAGTAATAAATGGCATACTCGGACAACATCAAGGTCATCCATCCGAGTAAAACTATCTTTAACAAATAATCTCTTCAAGTCATCGACATGTAAACTCGGCTTCGACTTTGCCAGCTCAGGAAAAACCCGAGATAACCATGATGGGCGGGAGATATGACTAGTGTACCGGGTTACATCATCGTGTCCGAAGCGTAGACCAGTGATTAATCAAAACTCTTCCCGCCCAAAACAAGTATACGCCGGAGGAAAATGAAACCATATCTCTTCATCACCACGTTGTATCCTCTCAGGTAGATCGTTAGTCATGGTCTGAAGAAACAAACGTGTCAACATAGCATCTCCACCCGGATGTTGTACTTTCAGCCATGGCCCGAAGCAAGTATCCTCAAACAATTTTCTTTGTAGAGGTGTAAGCGTCGACACAATTTTAGTGGCTATGCTTAATTTATTCCTTAAGGTCAATGCAGCCGAAAAAAATTTCTACAAAAACAATAAACATACAAAGTTAGATATACCAAAAACTATAAATTATACACTATAAACAGATTAAACAGTGAAAACAAAGCCAAATATGTTTCAAACTAGCACGGTATTCACCCAAGTCATTATTCCATCATAGTTCACAAAACATCATATAACATTCCAGAAGTAAGCACTTATATAAACATTTAAAAGAACAACATATAGGTTTAGTGCAGGTTCAAGGACAACATAAAGAGTAGTAGTTTATTCTTGAAACTTAAATTCTCAACACTGTGAAGTTAGTATTTGTCTTTGTTTTTTGGTTGAAGTAATGCAATTCATTCAAGTTTCAATTTGCAGAATAAGAGTAGTTTCTGAAACTTAAATTCGCAACGCGAAAATGAAAATCACAACGCGAAAATGAAAATCGCAACGCGAACATGAAAATCGCAATGCAAAAATTAAAATCGCAACGTGAAAATTAAAATCGCAACGCGAAACTAGAAAACCGCAACGCAAATATCGCAACGCGAACTAGAAAATCGCAACGCGAAATCGCGTTGCGATTTCATTTTCATGTTGCGAATTTAAGTTTTAAAAACTATTCTTCTGCAAATTGAAACTTGAATGAATTGCATTTCTTCAACAAAAAGACAAAACAAAGACAAATACTAACTTCACAGGGCAATATTGGCAGCAACCGAATGAATTTACTAAGCAATCTAAGTGAAATGGTTATAGATTATGTATTGAAATTACCAGTAAATTTATCATCAATATCAGAAAAATCTAATAATAATACAACAATTTCAAAATAAAAATAAGAGATTAAACTAACCCTCGGTGGTTGATTTTCCATTTATGACCGTGAATGATTGTGAGGGTTGCTCTAAGAGATGGAGATAAACGGATTTCGTCGGAGATGGGGACGAATGTCGTCGTAGAGAGCGAGAGATGGAAATGGGATTGAGTTGTGATTTAGGGTTTTAGGTTATGTTTTGCGATAATACTGTTTACATTTGTGTTTCTCAATTAATATTGTGTTTCGAATTCGAAAATAAAATTCGCGTTGCGAAAATAAACGCGCTTTGCGAATTTGACTTCTATATTGCGAATTTGACTTTTGTGTTGCGAATTTGACTTATGTGTTGCGATTTACAAATTCGCGTTGCGAATTTGGAAACTGGGTTGCAAAATAGGAGTTCGCGTTGCGAATTTGAGACCGCGTTGCGAATTTGTTGGTCATTTTCGCAAATCCAAAAAAAGTTGGTTAAAATCGTATATTATAAGGCATTTTCGGTCACTGAGGTTATTTTCTCTATTCTAAATTCACACGAAACAAACTTCAAAACTGGAATTATCAACCATTACATTGCTTTTCAACTTAGGATAACAACTTTAAAACAGCAAAAAAAGAACTCCTAAAAAGTGAATAACTTTGGTGCAAAACGGAAACAAACGCACTTGCTATTAGGCTCTTTACTCCAATAATTTTTTGACAAAGATTTTAGATTTGAGGGATTATTAGATTTTTCTAGATAAAAGGAAAGAATACCCAAATTAATTTGAAAGGGGAAAAAGTGAACCTTTGATTAGGAGTAAGCTTTGAAAGGGGATGAAACAAGGAAGCATAAATTTGGAAATTAAAAAAAGGAAGATTTGATTACCTGAGAAGATAAGTGTTGCTGGCTTGAATCCTCGCCGATGAGAAAGAGTAGATGTTATTTCAAAGAATGATTCGAGTGTTTTGAGCTTTGAAGGAGCTGGAAAATGACTTCCCTTTTTCACACGATAAGTTGTTTTACAGAAAAAAATGAGTGATTTTACCTTGACCGGAAAACATTTTCCTTTGACCAAAGAATTTTCCTTGAACTAAACACAAGAAAATTAGGAAAACATTTTCCGGTAAATTGTTTTTCTCTAAACAAACAGACCCTTAGGGTCTGTTTTATTGTGTATTACTAAACTAGTTGACGAGTCGTATTTTATAATTTAAATTTTATGTGAAATTTTTTAAATGGAGTAAGTTATTCGAATTTCTGTTTAAATTTAATTATAAATATCTATAATATTATGGTACTATCTGATTCTAATTTAAATGATTTTTTATAACCATATGAAATACATAGATATTTATTTCATTTTTTCATATATGATATACATATGTAATACAAAATTAAGAGACTCGATTCAAATTTAAAATTTAATTTATTAATTACAAAAAAGTTTTGAGTTATTTAAATTTTATTTTATATCTCAATTTAAATTTAAAAAAAATTCGAATCGAGTTAAAAAGATCAATTTTTGGAATCAAATTAAATTTTCCTCATCCCTGTTTTAGTAAAACTTCAAGTCTAAGAAGAAAGGATGTTGATAAAACTAAGTTGACTGTGGGCAGGAAAGAAAGACAAACGTTTGGCTCAGAAATATGGTCCAGTCATCAAGTTATGGGGTCTACCTAGAAATGTAGAGCTATGAATAGAACATGATTTTCGTTTTCCCATTGCAGGGGGTCTACCAAGGAATTATCATTGGCGTTGGAATTCCGGGACTCTTGAGTCTAATCGGGCTGATTTCGTTCATCGGTGGTCGAATGAGAACCGGCGGACGAAGAGGTAACCTCCCTAGTATTGAATTCTCGGCATCGATCTCCCCGTCACCGGATATTTTAATAACAGGACTCGACGGGCTAACGATTGATTCCTACCCCAAGACTAAACTTGGTGAGAGCGGACGTCTTCCCAAGCCGATCGACAATATTTGTCCCATTTGCTTATCTGAATATCAGCCTAAGGAGACACTAAGGACTATACCAGACTGTAACCACTACTTCCATGCTCATTGCATAGACAAGTGGCTGAAGATGAATGCTTCGTGCCCTTTGTGTCGCAATTCGCCCTGTGGATCGTCTGAAGTTACCCTATCTATATCCTCATCTTCATCTTCATCTTCATCTACTCTCTTACCACCATGGGCAATTCCAAATTCATGTCACTATATCAGCAGTTGTGAATATATATACCCTCCAAAGGACTTGAGTTTTAGATTCTCTCTTTGTTTTTGATAGATTTTGGTTAATAGTGTTCTTTTTCTTAAATGATTTTTGGTTATTAGTTAGAAAACGAATACATTACCATTCCAATTTTTTGCTATCTAGTTGATGATTTGTTTTTATTTATGCTTGAGTCTCTTCTTTAGCTATATACGTATAGGAGTAAAATATCATATATACTTATATGGAAAAATTCTAGGATGCATGCCATTCATTGAATTCACCCCTAATTTTATAGGATAAAATTTACAAAAGGTCATTAAACTATGTCAAAATTATCCTTTTGAACATTTAACTTTTAAAAGTTACACAATGAATATTAAATTTTAATTTTGTTACAAAATGGACACAAAACCATTAAAAAATATCTTGTTTGACCCTTCAATTATAACAAAAATTTAATTTTACTCTTAATTTTAATTGAAATAATTCTTAGTAGGTTCATTGAATTGAAAATAAAATAGATATAGATGATTTAAATTTGTACCATATAAATTAAAAATTATTTAATATGATAGTATAAAATTTTGGATGTATGATTTTTTTAAATTACATTTAAATTTGTTAAATAAAAAGATAAATGCTTAAATCACATCATTAATAAAAAAATAATTTTATTATTTGATGACGTCAAAAATTATAAAATTTTTATTTTAAAAATACAACAAAATTAATAAATAATTAGTTACAAAATAATTTTTTACTTAATAAAAAATTAATTTCATCGTTCGATAACTGAATTCTTCAAAAATATTTTTTAAATTTTAAAAAATTATTTATTTTCATATATTTTAGAAAATGTTCTAATTTTTTAGAATTGCTACTTAAAAATGTTGAAAATATTAAAATGAAATTTTAGTTATCAGAGGCTAAATAAGATATTTTTCATTAATTTAGTATGTTATTCACCCCTTAATAACATCCTTAATAACATTTAATGATTGCTATTTATTTTTTAAACAAAATTGAAAGTTTAATGTCTATTTTGTAACTTTTAAAAATTTAATGATAAATAAAATCAATTTAAAAAGTTTTGTGACTATTTATGAATTTTACCTTATTTTAAATTAGTAGTGCATTTCAATGCAGGTTATTAATGGTGCATTTCAATGAACGTCACTCACTGTAGACTCATCCTACTTATATGCGATACATATAAACATGGATTTAGGAGGTTTAATAGCTATAGATTGGTTTTTAACCTCTATAAGCAGATAGGGATGGCAAGTGGGTACAATTTCGTGGATTCCGCACCGTATCCGCTCCAATTGGGGCGGGGATGGGTATAATTTTAGTGGGTAGTGGGCGGGTGTGGATTTAGAAAGTGGTACCCGTCGCGGGTAGTGGGCGGGTAATGGATTTGAGACCTTACCCGCCCCGCATCCGCACCGCATCCACCCGCCCCGCATCCGCCCTCCCCACATCCGCCCGCCCAACTAAATATCCATTAAATTTTGGATCATTCTGAATTTAGGTGTAATTTTAAGAGACTAATTTATAAATCCTAATATTGTATAAGATATAACTTGTAATTTAACCAAGTATTAGGGATAAGTTTATGCATAAATTTTTTTCTTTCAAACCTCTTGTCTTCACTCTCCAGCTTATTCATGTATGTTTCTTCCCTTTTTACTTGAAATTTAATTTTTGTAAGAGTCATTTCCGTAGTCATTTCGTTTTAAGCTCCTCTGCATTTAGTTTTAAGAGTTTAATTTTTATTTGCTCGTACTGATTTTTAATTATTTTTTAGATTCATCTTAATGTTTGTTTTAAGCTTAATTTCTTAATGTTCTACAAATCAATATCTTGTGACTGAGCACCCACGTTTTTGGCTAACAGAGTCAGATCGTTGCTTCTCAAATCTCTATTTTTAACGCCACTGAATAGAATTAAGTGTTTCACATGTGCTTCACAAACCTCCATTTTTAACGCCATTGAAACTGACTTTTTCAAATTCAAATTTCAACCGAGTATTTTGCAATACTGGTGTTTTATTATGGTGTTCTATGAGAATGATGATTGTAATACTGGAGTATCAGATGTCACAAGTATTGCTTGAAATTTTAGAATGTTGTGCCAAAGAACAAAAACATTATGTGTTTGTCATTTATGTTTCTAGACTTTAATTATGTCTTTTATTATGATGTTTTATGTACTTTAAGATCTATATTAACACTTAACTCAGATAATCATTAGTTTATTTTATTATGTTTCTTAATAGATGTGTTTGTTTTATGTTTGTTGCTTATGTATAACTTAAGTTTGTTGTCAGGCGGGTCTAGCCGGGTACTTCTCCAGTGGGTAGTGGGTGTGGGGATGGATTTGAGAATGTACCCGCGTGGGCGGGTGTGGATTTGAAAATTTTTACCCATCATGGGTGGTGGGCGGGTGGTGGATTGAAAAATATTAGGTGGGTATGGGGATGGGGGAGGGGGTATCCGCACCCGACCCGCCCGTTTGCCATCCCTATAAGCAGATTAAGAAGTTATAATGTATCTTTTAGCTCTAGACTTTTTTAAAAACAATACACATATACATAACAGGACGATTGTGAGACCGGACGAGTCAAATTTTTGGTCCCCTCTTGACTCTACGGAACACCCTAAATTTAACGAATAATCTCTGATGAGTTTACATGTATCACATTCGATTATTATATTGCCCCAAAAATTTGTAAACAATACAAACCAAAATATCATATGAAAATGATTGTACAAAATTTGGAGATCCTTTAGTTTTGAAAACAATGTATGCAATAAAATACAAGTTTTCTCATTTACTATATTTATATATTTTCACTAAGATTCCTCTTTTGATGTTTTCTTATCACGATCCACAAAACCTATAACATGCATAAAAACAATTTGAGCACTGAGCCAACAAAACTTAATATATCTCATCTCTAATTAATTATCGAGGCTCAACATATTTTCTCAATTATAGGGAGTATCACATATCATAATATTATCATTATATTATGAATATCATGGTCATCAACTTTGGTCTATACACTATTCAAGGATGTTATCTATCAAGCTACTAATTCATGGTTCTCTCACTTATCCTCATAATTGTTTCATTAGCCATAAGCTATTTTGTATCACCTAAAATCAGATAAAATTAACTATAATACATAGTCTCATCTAGCATCAAGTATTAAAATCAATAATGATATATTGTATCATATAACATCAAGTATCATATTTAATATCTATACTTGGTATCACACATCATCAATTATTATAAATAACATCTATATTTGGTATCACTAAATGTCAAATATTAGATACCATTTTCATTAGGTACCATCAAGTGTTAGGTAGCAATGATATGGGTGGCACCTGATATCATTAAGCATAGAGTATTATTCTACTAATGATTTATTTGTGTAATATCATGAAGCGTCAAACTATTGAATCATTAACGGTCTCTTGCACGAAAATCGTATGATTAAATATTGTCACATAAGGTCACATATTAATAATCACTATTAAGGTATATGAATATAACATAATAACATAATCACGATATTTATTCCATCATAAAGCATAAGGCTTTCTTCATAATCCACAATCATAGCTCGTTCCTTTTATAGAATGTATACATAAAAGTATAATAATCTTTTAGTAGCCTATGTCCTTCAGTAATATTTATCAAATAATTATGGAGAATTTATTTAAGTTGCAAGTAATCATCGTTCTCTTATCCACATAATAATTCGGTTTTTTGGATTTATTTATAAGTCAAGTAGGTTTAATTTAATTTCAAATATTGATACTAATTATGAGTATCAATACTAGCCTTAAGATATCAATACTTTTGGGTAGTATTGACACTAAATCGATAAATTGGAACCCAACATCTTGACTCATTATCCATACCAAAGATAAAATATTGATAATTTAACACCCTCAACCTGATTTAGACAAAAACCGAATCGAAGAAGCTAACAAAGAACATGAATTCGAAAAAATTTTATACAAACTTCATACATTGGTCAAGCATTGTCAAACAAACACTTAATGATTCATATTAAAGCAATTAAATCTTTAATAAACTAAATTTATATTGAAATGTTGATTAGAGACCAATTATAACCCTTCAAAAGGTTAGGGACTAAAATGTATTTTCTTAAAAATTAAAGAACTAACTTATAAATTAGTATAAGTATAAACCAATGAATATTTAAATCAAACATACCTTTAATCAAGTTATTAAAAATCTAAAAGATCATATCTTAACTAATACATAATTCAAGGACTATTTACAACATTTTGCATATTTAGAATTGTTGATATTAATACCATTGTATTAGTACCTATACTTTTTTTTAGAGAAACGACGAGCCTCATTAAAAATCCCTTCTAGTCCTAATAAGGGGAAAAGAGTGTCCAAATTCTATTAACGGGAAACCATGTCACAAGATACATCAGATGTAATAATCTCGGGACAAACCGAGTCGAAAAACAAAGAATTACCCGACCGTAGTGCTCAGGTAGCCAAAGAATGTGCTACCTTGTTGCACTTGCGTCGTGCGAACTGAATTACAAATGATGCATTACAGTCAAACAAATTTCGGGTTTCCTGTAACTAAAATCCTGTAGTGGAAACATCAGGTGGTCTAGCCCGGATCTTGTTCACCACCATAGCAGAATCGTACTCAAATACCACATTAGTCCATTGGTTATCGATAGAAAAAAGCAAACCAGGCACAATTGCATGTACTTTGGCAATCCCAACTTCCCCACAAGATGGAACTAAGACTGCCATACCCCCTAGGGGTAACCTAGTAGCATCACGAGCTATTATACCCACTGTCTCCATTCGTCGCTACGGATTGAAAGTCCCGTCAACATTAACTTTAACAACTCCAGAGTCGGGCGAACGCCACTTCTGTTGGGCTACACTGGTTGGCACCTGTTGCAGTGGAACTCCGACAGTTGTGCGTGTTGCTCCTTGAATAGTGGAATTCCTGGCTGATTTAAACGCATTCTGGAGCACCTGTGCATTTAAAGCTATAAGCCACATAGGTTGAAGTTTATCCTCATGGACTAGTGTATTTCTTCCATTCCATATATTCCAAAGTAGAACCGCAAAGTTAGTGAAATGTTCCACGGTGAACAACTGCGATAATGCTTCTACCCAACTTAAACTAGATTCTCCAGGTGTGAAACGAGGTACCCCAGAAAAACCAGCCTCCTGGGCATACAGACAGCCACGCAAAGCATGAGCAGCTGTTTCCTCATCAGCTTGGCACACAGGACACGGTCTAAATCCTAAACATGCTTCCTGAATACGTTTACCAACAAGCAATCCATTATGCACCAAGCGCCACATCAATATACATATTTTTGGAATAATCGGTAATTTAGCAATGACCTACCAAACAGGAGATATGCGGTCCGGTGAGTGTTGCTGACGTTGTAACCACCAATACCCAGACCGAACCGAGTACACACCAGAATCATGTTAGCCCCAAATAATGACCTTCTTAGAACACGGGTTAATAATGGTATCTAAGATTGCATCAGCATCTGCCCTCGTGAACACCTCTCGAACGCGTGATTCAATCCAAGTCGGATAATCTGGCATCATAAATAATGAAGCCCGAAATCTTGCTGGTGGGGAGGAAAAGTAATCCCTGTAAGCGTCACCTTTGTAGAACCACCCCGTTATTCGTAACTAGGTTCAGTTGACTATTAATACCAATGCGCCTATAAATGGCTCCCTCAATCTACTGAAGCACCCTGAAAATGCTTTTCCATGCATAAGAAATTCTTTCTCCTTGTCTCGCTTTCAGAATATCACCATGTGTGAAATATTTAGCCCGCAAGACTCGAGATAATAAACTATTAGGGAACCAGATTAACCTCTAGACCTGTTTTCCTAAAAATGCAAGATCGCAGATCAGGTAAACCCAATCACTCTTATCTTTTTGGTTGAAAAATATTTGACCAAGCGATCAATGGCCAACCACTGGCCGAGATCTTCCCAGTCCACCAATGTCGTCGCATTACAGAAGTCATGTCATTAAGTAAAGATTCTGGCAAAAGATAAGAAGACATTGCATATTGTGGTAGTACCTGGGCGATCGATTTTAGAAAAACCTCAGGCCCTCCATAGGATAGGAGACGTTTCATCCATCCCATAACCCGAGCTGCCAATTTCTCCTTTAAAAAGCCAAATGCTGACATCTTATTTTTTCCAATAACAATTGGTAGTCCAAGATAATGGCCCAGCGAGTCCGCTTGTAGTATTCCATGTATATCCGTTAACTGTTGTCAGTGTGCCAAAATAGTGTTAAGGCTAAAATATATTGATGATTTGTCTGAATTTATATGTTGTCCCGAAGCATCGACAAAAACTCGTAGGATATCCTTAATCGCTTCGGTAGTGGAATTATGAATAAAGACCAAACTATCATATGCAAAAAGTATATGTGTCACACGTGGCCTTTTCTGAAAGGCTCAAATACCTCAGACTGTACCATCCCTTTGTTCCTTATGAAGTAAAGTTGATAAACCATGTGTAATAAATAGGAAAATGAATGGCGAAACTAGGTCTCCGAGACGAAGTCCGCGCGAGGGTGAAAACACCAAAATAAGAGAACTATACACTCGAACCGAAAATGTGACAGAAGTTATGCAGCGCATAATCATGTGTACAAAGGCACCATTAAAACCGAGCTTAAGCATGACACTCCTCAAGAAACTCCATTCCACCCAGTCATATGCCTTTTCAATATCTAATTTCAACGATGCACCTTTGCTTATACCATTTTTGGATGAATTTAAATAATGTAGTAATTCATGCGCCACCAAGATGTTATTCGATATTTGTCGCCCAGATAAAAAGTTGATTTGATTTTCACTGATACATAGTGGCATAATACTCTTCAAATGATTTACCAAAACCTTTGAAACTATTTTATAAACAACGGTGCACAAACTTATCGGTCTTAGCTATTTCATATGTTGTGGCTCATCCATTTTCAGAATTAATTCTAAAATTGTCTTGTTGAGTCTCGATACTTCAATCATAAGTATCAATACTCTTGTACATTAATTGAGTCTCGATTTAGTATCGATACCATAAGGATAATAATGATATTGAATCTAAATATCAATACTAAAATAGTATATTGCAATCAAATTTTTGATGGTATCAATACTCTTATCCAGTAATGATATTATATGTACTAAATGGATAATTTCCACTACTAAACATCGATAAATTTAATCCAAACTTAAACTTGAATAAATAAACAACCTATATAATAATTCTTAACATCTTAATTATGCCTTGAAACATCCAATTCACCTAGAGTTCAACCAATTTCATAAGATATTAAAAGCATACTCAAATCATTATAAACTATCATTCAAGCAACACATATTCATTTCAACCTCACCATTCACACCCTTTTTGAATTTAAGCATAATTCATCCATATAAAATTCACTTAAAACATATTAAAAGGATTTATGATCAAACAAAGATGACATAACTTTGTACTAACAAATATATACATAATCCATAAATCAAACACATATTCCCATCTAAGAGTATGAATAAAAAAATTCACGCTATTGGACTTTTTCGCATAGTCAATTGAGGGCTCATGTGATCTATCCCACAAAGATTTAGTAATCCCAAGTTCATTCTTGGAGGTAGAGATCTCCATGAGAGGGTTAAGAATACCCAAGTTACCTAACTAATATGACGATCATCTTGTTTTCCAGAAATATCATGAATATTTTAGCTTATGCCAAGGCACTTCAGTTGCTAATTGGGCTTAGATCCCTAAGTACTCACGAGGAGTAATTTAGTCGGGTGTATGTTTCTGATGCAATAGTTTAGGATCTCACTCTAAGTACTAAGGGTACTATAGGTAAGATAAAAGGGAGTGAGTCTCAAGGTGCATTAAACCCTCCAACTACACCATGATGTCTTCTTGTGTGAATAATAATTAATTTAGCTATGTGATTCAAGACTCATCCTTGATGTCTTCATGTTGGTATATAAGTACAAGCTATATACAACACCTAATAGTATACAGTGTTGTGTAATACCATGGATTTTAATGTTACTTAAACATCAATTGGCTAGTATAGCCAACATCGAATAATAAAATGGTGGTAAGTAATCATTGGTACAAAACTTAGAGTAATAGGATCCTTAAGTTAGAGTACGGTTGTGTGGGATCTTTGCTCTCTAAGATATCTAGATGTTGCTAGCTTCGCTCAGTAAGTAATAGATTTTCAGTCGTGATTACCTTAAATGCATGAACTGGTGAGTAACGCATTTATAAGCTGTAAGGAAAATGAGAAACAATCGAGTAGAATGGATGGATATTGATTCATATTTGTGTAGTAAAAACTTTTTAGACCTATATGTAGAAAGTCAAGAATCGATATCATAACTTTAGTAGACGATATCGATATCGCGTGTGGTACTTGTCCGTAGGATTTCAACATGTAGTATGACGAATTACCTATGTTCAATGAGTAATAAATATTACAGAGTGGTGTAATATTTTAACTCAATTGAGTAGAGTTAGTCAGTAAAGAGTTTAGAGGTTACAAATGAGTCGTGGAGAAGTGTTGGTCCATATAAAATGTTTTGAGCATTCAGTGTCAGACAACAAGAATGAGATTCTTTGGCTTTGTGCCTCTAGAAGGTTGGTGCTTAAGGTTCGACGCAACTAACGTCTTTTGAGAAATCGTAGGTTGATTTTGTGAGTTTTCGAGATGTATGTCGTGTTGTGGGGGACTTCTTTCTTGAGGATTAGACTTGATAAGAGTTTAGGTACTTCGAGGATTCTAAGTTTTTGATCTAAGGATAGATCGTGATTCGTTCTAAGCCAATTTCAATGATGAAATTCCTTTCAAGAATGGGAGAGTTGTAATGCCCCAAATTTAAGGCTAATAGTTTCAGGTTTACCCGAGAGGTATGTGAACCTAATGGAGTTTATAATTGAAGTCGATGGGCTAAGTTTGGGCTTATTGGGTTGGAATTTAGCCTAAAAGGGTCAAAAAGGGGATTTTGTTTCTTATAAGGTAAAGTATGAAAGACCATAAGTGTAATTAGCCCATTAATGAAATTGAGGTTGATTTCTTGGTATTTATTTTAGCTTTGGGCATGGGATTTAAGGAAGAAAAGCTAAAAAAAACTTTTATCATTTTCTCCTCTCATCATTCTCTTCATTTTTTTGCCTTATCTTTTCCTCCTAAAGCTTTAAAGATCAAGGGGTGGTGGTAAGAACTCCTCTTATGTTCCATCCAACTCTAACAATGTCTTTAAGCCTTTCAACAACCTTAGTTAGTAATTCAATAACCTTGTTTTCATGTGTTGGCTAGAGAAAGTGGTTCATGAGTATCCTAGTTCAAGAATCAAGTATAGTTGAGAAAAGAGGCTCATTTCGGGATTCTGACACCAAGGTAGTGTATTTCTAATCGTTTGTTGTGTCGTGAATTTCCTAAATGTGATGCTTTGTTGGGGATTTGGGTATTTGAGCATATTTGGGGGGTTTGCTTGATTCATGCTTATATAATATTTTTAGTTTAAAGATAATGTTTCTATAGTGCTAAATGACCCTAAATAACTTTCATAAACTTTAGCACATATTTTGGGACCAAACTAGGGTGTGTGTGAGTTTCTTAGTGTTTCTTGATCCTATTTCTAGGTTTTATGGGTTAGGGTATCAATACTGGATGAAATGGGATAATTTTTGGATAGTTTCAACTTGGAGTATCATTATTGAGGGGAGGAGTATCGATACTGAGGGTATTTGGTATCGATACTAAAGGTATCTATTGTCGATAATGAGCCATGTTTAGTAAAATAGAAGTTATTTTTGGTACCGATACTCATGGGCGTATTGATATTGCATGTTGAGTATCGATTCTACTCATTTTGGATGGCTAGATTCAAATTCATTAAAGCCTATAAGAGTTAAGGATGATCCGTAATGGTGAACTTAATCCGTGAGGGATATAAATAGAAAAAGGGTTCTTAGAAACACTCTTATGAGTTGGTTATGATCGAAGAAACCATATTAGGCATAATAATTCCAAGTATCTTCAATCGAGCATGTGTCAAATAATCATAAACAAAGGATCATTACAGAAGACGTGTCAACAAGTGAGGCGATGAATGACATGATTCGGATATAGAGGAAATCAAGTACCCCTTAAACACCTAGAATCAAAGATAAACAAGTTACCCTACTAGTTCAAAGGTAAACCGATAGGAAATGTAATAAGAGCGACCCGATAGTCGTTATTAATGAACCAATCCTTAATCGAGTGTTGCGCTAGTAGTAATATACCAAGTGGACAGTGACGAATATTGATTGCCTTAAGTGCATAAACCTAAAAAAGTCTAATAAGCCCTTACATAATGTTTTATATGAGAGAACAAGGAAAATAGTGGCTAGTAAGGAGATTGTCTCACCTAATTATGACAAGTTTGATAATGAGTAGCCGAGCTTCCTCGATTGCCTTACGTGACATCAGTTGATTTGTGTGTCGAGGTGTTCAGCTCTGGGAAAATGATTGATTATGAAAATGAGATAATAATGTAATAATAATGTTAACTGTATGATAATCATAAGAACCTTATGAGGTAAGATTCCATAAGACTTATGCCTTGTTTACAGCTTGGGAAATATAGATGACACCCGAGTTACTTGTATTTTTGTGTGTGACAATTGTCCTTATCACTAAAAAAATATTCGGATATATCCAAATCAATGCAAGGGAACTTAAAAATCTAGTTGAACGTTGTATTGATGCTATGTGACCCGGACACATTCTGAGTACTCTAAAGGAGTATAGTAACCTTGCAGGTGGAGATGTTATGTGACCTATATCTTACCCAAGGTACCTTTAGTAAGAAAATAGGTGTGTGAGTTCTGTGATGTTGTTTGACCTTGATCTATACCATGATGCTTACTTGTTGTTGTGTGATTATACCTGACATCTTTTTAATATCGGGTACTTTCATTGTGTGTTGCATGATGATTGTACCTAGTGCTTATTACCATGTTTTCTAGCATATTTATGTTTATGATATTCATATGCTGCTCTAGATTAGCGCTTATATTTTTAGGCTTTGTAAGCTCAACGTTCGAATGTTTTCATTCGTAGGATAGAATATTGAGATGTTCGAGGAGCACTGTCGCAGCAGAACTT